CTCTTTTTTTTAAAGACGGCCCCCCGAAATGTGCTTTTCCCCCCCCCCCCCCGAATCCTCTGGGCAGCCCTGCATCTGCCAGGGGCAGAGTCCCGGGCCAGCCGCTGGCCCTGCACCCCTGAGCCGCTGCCCGGGATGAGCGGTAGCGTCCCGCCGTGGGTCAAAGCCAGCGCAGGATTCGCCCGGGGCTTGGCCCAGCAGGGACGGGTCATTCGTCAAAGCCCCCGGGGAGCTCCTTGGCCCGGGTCGGCGGATATTTAGAGACGTGCAGCCGGAGCAATAAACACCAGGCCATTTAGCATCTGCCCTCCAGAGACCCCCTCCTGCCACGGGCTCCTAGGGAAGGATATGCCGCCAAACTCTGGGTCCCCCTGCACCGGCGGGGGGTGGGGGGGATTTCCTGTGTGGTGCTGGCCCCACCCACCTCCTGCCACTGCGGGCACTCAGCTGTTGTACAGAGAGCAGGCCCCAGACAGCCTCTGCTCCCAAAGAGCTCACAATGGAAACAGACCATGGGTGGGAGGGGAAACTGAGGCACAGAGCGAGGCAAAGGGACTTCCCAAGGTCACTCAGCACTAGAGGTGAGACTAGAGCCCAGCCCAGCGCGCTACTCACTGGACAGCACTGCCCCCTGCAACGGGTGATTCCAGCCCTCCGGGTAGCTGCCCCAAGAGCTGCTCTTTGCACTGACCCCTGCAGGGTTCACAACGCTAGTGCAGATCACCATTCAGCGTGCGCCGCACTAGGGGATAAAGGGCTGGAATCAGGCTGTTTCCCCCAGTGTGGACAAGACGGGAGCCTGCCCCGCTCTTACAGGGAAATCGGGGAGTTTTTTGGGGAGAGGGGGGCTGCAGTTCCCTGCCTTAGCGGATCCTTCCCCCGCTGAGGGTCCCGGAGACCAGGCCTCCAACGGGAACAGCTCCAGGGTGTGGGGAGACAGATGCCAGACAGACCCCTGCTGTGGGGCGACTGACAGCGCAAGGGATGGGTGGGGGGCAGGAATCCAGTGCACCTCCTGGCTTGGTCGCTCGCTGTCCCCCACTAGTGGCTATTCCATGCACTGAGGCCTGCAGGGTAAGGAAGCCCACTCCCTAGCTTATACAGTAGTAGCTAAAGCGATGAGATCCAAAGGTCCCCGGTTCAAATCCGCCCCCTTCCCCGGGCGGGGTGTTTTGCAGCACAAGGGGTGATCCGGGGGTGAGCACAGCAGGGCCAGGTCCCAGCGCTGAGCAAATGGGACTTGCTTTTTCCGGGGAGCCAGCTGCTGTCCTGAACTGCCCCTCGGGGGACCCGCCGGCCCGTGAAGCGCCTGCCTCTCGTGTGTGGTTCGTGCGTCACGAGAGCTCTTCGCCACGGCCGGGAGAGCCGGCGAGTGGGTCCCAGCCAAAGCCGGAGAGCAGCGGCCGCACAAGCCGTGCTGAAAAGACCAATGGCCTCTCTCTCCCCCGAGCCCAGACCAGGGGGGCACAAGTGGACACGGGCACTGCAGGCCTGGGCGAGCTCTGGGTCGCCCACCCGCATCCCTAAAGGGTTAAATAGCTTTACCCAACATAGTACCTGGTAGGCAGAGGAGGGAGGCTGTAAGGTGGCCAAGGGAGGAGGGGGGCTTGGGCCACACAGAGACTGGAGAAGGCCAAGGTGCTGAGGACGAATCTCCCGACCAGACGCTATGGTGATAGGCACAGTGGAGGGAGCTGGAGAGATGGGACCCGGTGAGCGCAGGTGACAGGCAGGCCGGGCTCTGGGCAGCTCTGCCCTTTGCTGGCTCTGGCTCTCTGGGACATTGGCACGAGAGCGGGACCTGCACCGCTCACAGGCTCTCGCCCGCTGCTGTCCTTCACCCCAGCCCGGCCCTGGGAGTCGGAGGGCATCCAGGCGCTCGGGAGAATCCCAGCACGCCCCATGGGAGAGGAGGCTGCGCGGCTACTTTTTACAAATGGGGAAACTGAGGCACAGAGCAGGGGCGGGACTAGCTCAAGAACACACAGCAAGCCAGTGACTGAACCCAGGAGTCCTGACTCCCAGCCCCTCGATCTAACCCCGCTAGACCCCTCGCCCCTCCCAGAACCAGAACCCAGGAGGCCTGACTGCCATTTGCCATGCTCTAACCACTACTCAACTCTCCCCTCCCAGAGCCACAAACAGACAGTTCCCTGCTCCAGCCCACCAGACCCCGCTCCCTCCAGAGACGGGACGAGAACCCGGGAGTCCCCTGCTCTGGTCCTGCCTGTCTGATAAGGGAAGCGGGAACCCCAGGGGGAAATGGCCCATCTCGAAAGCACAAAACACTTCTTGAGTCGGGGAAAGGAGGGTGCTGGCATCAGGGTATCGGTGCCAAACTCCCGGGCTTCAGCTTCCCAGCTCTTGGCTGGTTGCCCAGCTCTGCGCCCAGGCTGGGTGGCACTTTCCTGAGGGTTTCAGGGGTAAATTCATTGGCTCCGGCTGGGCGCAGGGAGAGGAGCCCAGGGCAGATTGTCTCTGCAGCCCGTTCACTCCTTGGCCCCTCTCCCAAGGCTGTGAGCACAGGTGCCAACAGTCCTGGGGCGCCCGTCCCCTGGGAACCCGCCTGGGCCCACCGCTCACAGACCTCGGGACTGGGCAGAGGCCCTGGCCGCTGCAGGGCCAGCTTTAATTCCCGGCCGGCCGGGCGACGGAGCCCTCGGTTATCTCCACGGGGGCCAACCTTCCTGTGCCCTGACCCCTCCTGACCCTGCTCCCTGGGGGGCAGGAAGGGAGGGCCGTGACCGCCCCACCCACCCGATAGGAGCTTGGCCCCGGAGCCAGACTCTCCAGCCAGCCACGCTCCTTGTCCTTGAGCCTCTGCTGATGTCGCTCCTCCGGTGGGTTCCTTAACGGGGCTGGAGTCCGGACATCCCAGCTGGGCTGGGCTCTGGCAGAGGCAGGGGGGCAGGGGTCCCGGACGGGCTCTGCCCAGCGACAGGGCCCGGGCAGCGTCCCTCCTGGGAGAGATGGGCCCCCCCACCACACACACACTCATGTGCCACTCCAAACCCTCCCTCCTTGCCTGTGGGGTGGGGCCCGGTGCTGTACGTCTGTCCCTGCGCCCCAGCCTCGGACCCACACTAGGGGGCAGCAGCGAGCTGCCTTTGGGACAGGAAGGCTGGAGTGGGGCCCCTGCCCCCTCCCTCTCTATGGCCCTCAGGGGCCTCCGGGGGACGCTGTGGGACTGAGATTTAAAGGGACAGTACGTCTTTACCCCCATAGCCTCCCCCACATTCTAACCACTAGACGCCATGTCCTTCTTGGGATAGAACCCAGGAGTCCTGGCTCCCGGTCCCCTCCCCCAGCTCTAAACACTCGTGCATGTGCTAGAGATGCCAGCTGAGGCGGGCCTGGCCTGGCCCCCCCAGATTCCCCTCTTCACCCAGCCTGGCATCTGTCCTGGGGATGGAGCCCTCCCCGCCCCCCGGGCTGTGTGGTGCCAGCTTGGGGAACCCTCCTCCCCATTGGAGGTAACAGACTGGCCATGCCCCCCTAGGTGCTCACTGGCCCCTCGCTGGCCGTCCCAGCAGGGTTGGAGAGAGGCACAGGGCCCACGCCCAGGTCCCCAGCTCCCGGAGTCAGGGGATCAGACCAGACTCTCGGCTCTTACTGGAAAAGGACAATTTCTAGCCCTCACAGCTGGGGAGGAACGCTCAGAATTGTGACCCAAGTGTAATTAACTCAACAACGCTGCCTGAGTCTGCCGAGAGCCTGAGCCCATAGCTGCCTCATTCATCCCCCTGGGGTGTAATCGCCAAGGTCCTCTTCTTTGGGGGCCCCGGCCAGCCCCACCCCAGCACGGGACTCTGTGTATGGCAGGAGGGGGAGAACGCAGCAGGCCCAGCCCCCCATCCAAGCAGAGCCCCCCTGGCAGTAGGCAGGAAGGGGACGCCGTGGGGTGGAGAGGGAGAGCCGGACACTGCCCCTCCAGTGGGGTCGGACCTCTGGGGAGTCCACTTTCATAGTGGACCCAGGGCCCTGGAGGTGCCTTAAACCAGTCACAGGGCGAGGCTGCGCTCTCTCTCCCCACTAGAGGGCACCCTCCGGAGCAGGGGCGAGCAGCTCGCCAAGGGCCCCAGCCTCCCAGGCTGGCACCTCTCCCCAGGACCAGCTTCTGGGTGCCAGCCATGCAGGGCTCCCGCTCTCCCCAGCCGCCCGGGGCGACCCCGTCGGGAGAGGGATGGGCGCCGCGCACCCCCTGCCCGGAGCTCACCTGGTCTGCAGGCAGCAGGATGCTGTCCCCGGGCAGGGGCTCCGGGGCGCTTTGATTCGGGGGGTTTGAAGATCAAGCGAAGCACGAGGTAAATTCGGGCCTTTGATCTGCGAAGATGCGGGCGTCGATTCCAGCTTTGATTTCCTTCGCCGCGGGCGCGGTGCCAGCAGCCACCGCATAGGACAAAGCGCCAGCCACGCAGGGCAGCCGGGCGTAGGGACGGGGCAGGGCACACACAGCACACACAGTGGGCGCACACGGACACACTGCATGGGTCCGCAACACAGCACACACTGCACAACACACCGCCCAGCTACACAACGCACAGCTACACAACACAATGCACACGGACACACTGCACGTGTCTGCAACACAGCACAACACAGCGCACAGCTACATAACACCGTGCACACTGCACAACACAGCACACACCAACACAATGCACAGCTACACAACACAACACACACGGACACACTGCACATGTCCGCAACACAGCACAACACAGCGCACAGCTACACAACACAGTGCACACTGCACAACACAGCACACACCAACACAATGCACAGCTACACAACATAGCACACACCGACACATTGCACAACACTGCATACACCGACACAACGCACAGCTACACAATACAGTGCACATGGACACATTGCACAACACTGCACACACCAACACAATGCACAGCTACACAACACAGCTCACACCGACACACCGCACAGCTGCACAACACAGTGCACACTGACACACTGCACGGTTCTGCAACACAGCGCATATTGACACACTGCACAACATAGCGCACACTAACACAATGCACAGCAACACAACACAGCTCAGACCAACACATCGCACAGCTACAGAACACAGCGCACACTGACACACCGTATAGCTACACAACACTGTGCATACTGACACACTGCACAACACAGCGCAAAACATCACACTACACAACATAGCTACAACTCTGCACACACCGCACAGCTACACAACAAAGTACACACGGACACACTGCACAACACACACCGATGTACTATGCAGATACACAAAACATATGCCTGCATGCAACATGGGCACAGAACACGGTGCAGCACAGCTACACAACACAACACACACTGCACAACACAGCACAGCTACACAATGCACACTGATGCATTGCATGACACACACTCAACACACTACACAGTCACACAACACACTTCAACACAGAGCACAGGCTGGCAGAGCACACACCAACACACACATGGACCCACATACACCACGGACCCTTCCTTGTGCCCCACACGGGAACTCAACACAGGTCAGACACACCGGTGTATTGAACACACAGCACAGCTCTTTGCCTGCCCCACACCTGCACCCCACACCTCCCTGCCTGCCCCACACCTGCAACCCACACCTTCCTGCTCCACACCTCCCTGCCTGCCCCACGTCTGCACCCCAGAGTCCCACACCTCCCTGCTCCATACCTGCACCCACACTTCCCAGCCTCCCCCACCCCTCCCTGCCACACCCCCAACTCCCCACCCCTCCCCACCCCTCTACACTGGACCCCCTGTTCCACGGCTGCCCCCCCAGCACAGAGCCCCTTGCCCAGCACCGGGCCCTGTCTCCCAGCCCGGGCACCGGGGCCTGCTCTGCGGGGAGCTCTGCATGGAGCTGCCAGAGGGCGCTGGTGGGGGGCTGGCACAGGGCCCTCCCAGGCCCGTGGCGTAGCCAGGCCAGAGCCCCCATCCTTCACGGCAGCGAGCGCGGGCCAGGGTGGGGCTGCTCCGTGCCAGCCCTGGGGGCAACAGAGGCCGAGAGGCCGCTGGCACCGGGAGCTGCCGTCCGGGCACATCCCCGGCTCTGCTAACGAGCCGCAGCGCGCGCCAGACGGCATAATTCATGGCCCGGCGGCTGCCCCCTGCTGCTTCGCCGAGCAAACCCCAGATGTATTATTCATGCCCCCACGGACTTTTCTGGGCCTGGCAACACAGCCCCCCTGCCCCCCGGCTCCCCTCGGAGTAATCCGCTAATGAGCCGCTTCCCGGGGGACTGCGGGGAAGGAAGGAGCCCGGGCGGTCGTGACTCGAGGCGGGCGGCCACCCCGCCCCCCCGGCGCTGCCCCCTGCAGACGAGCCCCAAACTCCAAGGGGAGGTCCGTGGGGGGAATCCGAGCCCCCCGCGTGCCCTGGGGAGGGCCAAGCCCCTGTGGCTCCCCGCCCCGGCCCGGCCCAAGGTAAGTTCTCGAGACTTGAGCAGGGGCCGCAGAGGAGAGTGCGGTGCCCCCCCCACATCAGCCTAATGCAAGGAGAGGGGGGCGCCCGCCCTGCTGCCTTGTTTTCCCCCTAATTGAATGGCGGGGGACTGGCAGCAGCTGCTCCTCAGATGGCGGATGCCGCGGGATGCTAAACAGGCGGCTTCAAAGCCGGGCCTACACGGCGCGAGCAAATTGGACCCGTCGTCCCAGCTCCGCGCAGGGCCCCCCAGGCCTTTGTAGCCCCGGATCAGAACCGCTCGGCTGCTTCCTCCGATATCCGTCAGCCGGGTGGCAGGAGACGAGATGAAACACAGGTTGGGGGGGGCACAGCCCATCCCCGGGGCCCCCCCGAGCTGCTGTTACTTGTTGTTCTCTGCTGCAGCCGATCCCTGGATTTCCCGGGCAGCTGGGGTGGGACTTGGCGAAGATTCACTTTGCCAATAAACTTTCTGTGCTGGGGAGCCGGGGGAGGGGCCGCTGCTGGGGGAGGGGGCTCCAGGGCTGGGAGCCCAGGATGGCACCGGGACTGGGGTACAGAGCTGACATTGCAAGCTTAGCGCCCTCCGTCCTGCCTGAGTCCCCCAATCCTGCCAGGTCAGCTGCCCACACGCAACTGTGCCAACACCCTTCCAGCCCCACCTACAGCCCCTGTTAGCCCGGCCCTGGGCTCCCCACCCCGCTCTGCCGGTGCCCCTCACTCCCGACCCGCAGCCCCTGCTAGCCCGGCCCTGAACTCCTCACACTCAGTTCTGATGATGTCCCTGGAGCCCAAGCTACAATACGAAGCAGGGAGAGTCAAGGAGGCTAGTGGAAAACTCCAACCCATCCTGGCTAAGAAGCCCCATATTGTGGGGATCTGGGCTGGAGGGGCCAAGCCAACAACCCCTCCCCCCATGCCCCAAGATCAGGGCAGGGCTGTTCTGGAATCAAAGCAGACTGGCACAGACAGACAGATGGGCAGAGATACCGAGCAAGCAACAGCCGGCCTCATGGAGAACAATGTACAGATGAACGCCCAGGGGCACCGAGGGACGGACGGATACCCGGGTAGCAGCAAGGGACAGCCGGACACCCAGGGGGCACCGAGGGACAGCTGGACACCCGGGGGTACCGAGGGACAGCTGGACACCCAGGGGGCATCAAGGGACAGCCAGACACCCAGGTAGCACCCAGGGACAGCCAGACACCCGGGAGTACCGAGGGACAGCTGGACACCCAGGGAGAACTAAGGGATGGCTGGACACCCAGCCAGCCGGACACCCACGGGGCATCCAGGGACAGACGGACACCCAGGGGGCACCAAGGGACAGCCAGACACCTGGGTAGCACCCAGGGACAGCCAGACAGACGGGGAGCGCCGAAGCATGACCAGACACCTGGGGAGTGGTGAGAGACAGCCCAACACCTGAGGGGCACCGAGGGACAGCCGGACACCCAGGGAAGCGCCGAGCGACAGCGTCACAGCTGGACACCCGGGAGCACCAAGGGACAGCGTCACAGCTGGACACCCGGGGAGGGCTTTGGTGGTGATTTGCCTGTCCAGGGGGAGGGGGGGAGTGGCCGGGCCGCACTCCCAGCCCCACCATGCCCAGTAATGTGTCTGTTTGTCGGGTGCGCTGACTTCTGCGCATCCACCATCGCTGCGCTTGGCCCCGGCTGGGCCGGCCCTGCGGCATCGCCACTCCCAGGCCCGGCACACTCGCTGCACAGACCGTGGGGCGCCGGCAGCTCCCGTCCGCCCGACAGGCCTGGGCAGCCTCTCTCCAAAAGCCCTCGTGGCGGTTGCGAGCCCCTGGCACATCCGGGCACCTCGCCCCAGCCCAGAGCCCAAGCTCCAGCCAGCCGGGAGCTGGAGCGAAGGGGCTCAGCCCGGAGAAGGGAGCCGCGAGGGAAGTGCCCCCTGCTGCTGTACCCACCGCGAGGACCCCGAGTCCCCCAGCTGGGCACCGTGTGTCTCTGCCATTGGTTCTCTGCCAGGCCCCGGCCTGACGGAGGAGATGGCAGCAGCACGAGCAGGGGAGGGCTGGAGATGGGGAGCAGGAGGCTGAGGGCGGATGGGACCAGCAGGGGGGAATGAACTTTAAGGGGCATGGGGGCGTAAGCAGGAGGGAGCCGCTCTCTATCGCCCCTCCCCCAGAGCAGGGGCAGAGACACCCCCCCACTTCCAGGGGCGACCTATCCCCTTGCCCCTGGGATGGCTGGCAATGGGGGGGGGCACAGCTGGAGGAGGGGGGATTTGCAGTTGTGGTCCCCCAAGGATTGAACGGAGACACCCCCAGAGCAGTCCCAGCGTCTGCCCGTTCCAGGCTGGGAGCTGCCCTGGTTGAAATCAATCACTAGCCACTTGGCAGGCTGCAGCAGCCCCTGGGGTGCTGGATCCATGGGGCCAGGCAGGGGGGCAGGGTCCCAGCCACTGTTGGGGCAGCTGGACACACAGAGCCTATAGGTGAGAGCAGCGGGCACCCCTACCCCCCCCGGATGCCCTCTAATGGGGCCATCTCCAGCCCAGCCCGTGATGGGCAACCCCCCTGCAGGCTGCATGAGTCACCCACCATCTGGGTGCCATTCTGAACCTCTTCCTTCCCTTGCAGGGAGCGAGCTGAAGTGTGTGTGTTGGGGGGACAGTGGGGAAGGCGCCAGGACTCCTGGGTTCTAGGCACCTCAATAATATCCATTCCCAGCTCTGGGACGGGAGGGAGCCGACCCAGCCGAGTGGTCAGAGCAGGGGAATCCAAGGAGTCAGAACTCCTGGGTTCCATCCCCCAGTGCTGCCGCTGGGTCGGTCACTGCCAGGCTCTGGGCCTCAGTTTCCCCCAATCTCCCATAAGGTACATGCTGGGGGCTGGGGAGGGGCAGATTTAACCGGTGTCAGTGAAACACTCCAAGACCCCGAGCGAGGGACACTCCCTATTACCTGGCACCCGAGTGGGGCTGGCGAGCCCGGGGGCGGAGTCCGGCTGCTTCCCACCAGGGCTGGGAGCAGAGACCAGAATCCGCTCCGTGGCGCCTCCCGCTGGGAGTACATGGGCCAGGGCAGCCCCCCCGGCTGCTGGGACCTTTACCCCCCGACCCCGGGCCAG